CCCTAGTGTTAGCAGGGATATTAACAACTAGCAAGTACGATGATAATGACAAACAGACCCAGTAATATAATTTCGATTCTGTTATGAAATCGTACAGCTAATCTCACCTTGACTCGTGTGTTCTTTGAGTCCAGAGCTCCAGTCACCTCCCTCAGTTGATTCTGTATCTGGCACCATCGTTGATCAAGGTTCGTTATGATCATCAGGACATCATCAGATGAGGCGATGTCGGTATCGAGCCCGATGTCGCGAGCGAAGGTCTGGAAATGTGTTAGGATGGTTAAAAAAAAAGAAAATTAGGATTGAGAAAATTGATAGAAGTAATAAAAACCCGAGAATGAATATAAGATAGTGATGAAAGACAATTGATACGAAAGTCATGAAAATAGCTACAATTTGTAAGAGGCAAAGTTGAAGAATTGACAAACAAAAGGGGCGTCGAGTTTTAAAAAGGGGACGGGGTGAGCCGTGCTCCTTGTATTCGTCATAAATGATATTTTGAAAAAGAAGAGATCAGTAGACATTAGAGAATCAGAAGAAAAGAGGACGTAGAAAAAGAACTTGAAAGAAGAACGATAAGATTAAGAGGAAAGAAATGATGAAAATAAAAAGAAGAGAAGAATAGATGAACTGAGAAGAGAAGAACGAAGATCGAGATATACCCTGAGTTTGTTGACAAGTGTGTCGTATTGATTGGCCAGATCATGATGGGATTCTTGCTGAAGATGCCACGCCCCTTCCAGGCGTGTCATTATGTCGTCAGCATTAGTTACGGCACGGTGCTCACCCATCTCCAGAACAAGTGCCTGTACCATACCGCAATAAGAAAATAGAACATTTAAGGACGTTAATCTTAAAGATCTTTGTTTATTGAACTCTGTAACTTTTTAAACGTTTTAAAGACTTTGCAAACGCTTCACATTCTTCTTATCTCTCCCCCTCTCGCCCCCTCTCTTCCATCTCTTACGCATTTAATCATTCAAGCTTCCCACTTCCGTCTCCCCCACCTCCCCCCATAACTCTCGTTACAACCAGTTATAACCAGTTACATAATTGTATAATTATTTTTTAATTCCATCGTGCAAACTGAAATTTGAGATTTTTTTTTGTTTTCATAGGTTTTAATTCGTTTCTCTCATAAAGAAAACTTGTACATTATTTATAACATTGTATACAAAATAACAAAATAATTTTAACATAGGTCTTGATAAATTTGCCAATGAACTTTTACATTTACATACAAAAGTTACACATTTACAGATGAAAAATATTCACATAAACAAAATTATATTTTCACCAAAATTTTTGTTTTAAAAATCGCAAGATACCTTGATTCGATGTTCGATACTATATGCTTGATCCACATCCTCTACCTTCTCTGGAACGGGCCGAGATTTCAGGGGGTCGTTCTCAACCGATGTGAGAATGATGTGATCAAGTACTTTCTGTAAAGCAATAGGGGTCAATACAATATTTCTCATAATGAACTATGTTTAGAAGCCTTTAAGATTAACAAATAATTTTGTTTTGATGGTAATTATACAAATGGCAATCTTCTAAACTTTCATGACATTTAAAAAATAATAATTGCCAAGATAGTATACAAAGTAAGAAAAACATTTGTCTTAATAATTGAAATGTATAAACCTGATAAATTAAACTTACCTTTGTTCCATTTTTGGATTCGTTGATGTTGTTTCGACTGAGAATGGGACGGTTAGAAGAGTTTCTAAACCTCCCACGGACGAAGCGAAGAAATCCACACATTCTATCAAATTGAAAACAAGTTTTATCTTTTTATTTATTGCTTAATTATCTATTTCATTATTTATTCATATATCTATTTTATTTACTCATTTATTTATTTATTTATTTATTTTCACATATTTCTTTCTTTATTTATTTGCTTATTCAGTCATTTGATTGATTTATGCAATCATTCTTCATGTATTTATTCATGCATTAACTAATTAATCAATAAATTTATTTATTTATTCTTCCGTTACTTCCTTATTTTTGTCTCTCTTTTTTTTAAAACAGTAATTTTTTGTATAGGCCTATCTATCTATATATCCATTTATTTATTCATCTATCTATCTACTGATCTATGTATTTATGTATCTTTTTTTTAATCTTTTTAATCCTTCATTTATTTTATATATTATTGATTGACTAATGTATCTATTAAGTCAATTAGTTGTTTTATCTTTGTTTATTTATGATAGAATAAAAGTGATCTTCGTGTTAAGTTTCAATGTAAGACAATGCCACCTTTTTATACACTTTTCTCAAAATGGTTGTTTCCCCAGTTCTCGTTGATGTCTTTTACCTCTATCATTATCTTTTGTTTTGTCTTGACAGTCCCTCAACACTTTTTGTTATAATTGTTTCTTCATTTTCCTTCTGTGGCTGTTTTTGTTCTACCTTTCTACCCATGTTATACATATCAAACCTACTAAATTCAACTTCTCACCTTCTTCTTTTCACATTAATACTTTCTTTATAGCAGTAATTTCGTTTTTCTTTTTTTCCTGAGTTGTATTAACATTTCTAGTCTTTATTCTCCTTCTTCTCCTTCATCATCATCCACATCATCCAAATCATCATCATCATCATCATCATCATCATCATCATCATCATCATCATCATCTTCTTCATAAACTTTTGTTATCCGTTTCTTGGCTTTACATAGTATACATTTGGACCTACGAAGTTACGTGTTTCATTGAATCTTGTTACTTTTCTCTCTCTCTCTCTCTCTCTCTCTCTCTTAAACTGGCTAAATAGATCAATATAGATGTTCTTACCTGATTAATTGTGATTTTTCGTCAGAAGTGTCTTTAAATACTCTAAAAGTTGAGAAAATTCAGAAGAATTTCTGCGCACCTTTGTCTAGTTCGGCATATGAACAGAGTATGTTGATAACACTAAACTTGTTTCCATGCCGCACATCGACTGTATGCAAATGAGCTGGTGATGACGTAAATGTCTTGGGAAGAATAACTTTCAACCAATCAGCGGGCAGGGTTTACTCTCATATCATGCGCAATCACTTGAAACGTCATCAGGCCTGATGAATATTCAGTAGGTTCGTTGATGCGCACGCGCACTTTAAACGCGTGCCTCCTTACGTAATAATAGAGCATTTCTCATGCGCGACCTCCCCCTTACCCCCCCCCTCTCTCTCTCTCTCTCTCTCTCTCCCTTTCTCTCCTCTACCCACAGCAAGTTTAGGAAGAAAAACTAATCCTGCCTTTACCCTCTCCCGCCCGCTTTCTATATTCCCTATCCTCCCTCACTAAAGCAAACCACATTAAAATGATAATAAAACATCGCTCAATGTACTAATAAATTGGCGCAAACTCCACGAATGCGCAAGATCATTATGTGTATGATTGTGCATAGATTATATTATTGTATTGAACACCAATGAATTATTAATGAAATATCAGTTGCCACAAGGTCGTCAGCTTACACACGCAAACACCCAGTTCTGATCATAAGTCATCCACTCGTTCTGTACTTTCACTTCAGTTTTCAATCAATAAATAAATAACCTAGCACAATGAAACAAAAGCGACAATTTTATCTTCGCCACTTTATTTTATTTTTTGTTCGGTACTACATACACATAATCAGGAAACTTGATAGAGTTGTGTTTTCAATTTGGTCTATGTACAATAGCTACATAGCTACAAAAGTGTACTATACATGAGTTCGTTAAAAAAACAAAAACAATAATGAAATGTAACTATTTACAGCATTACCATTCTTCTTTCATAATTAGTGTACTCATCATCACCAAGATAGAACCACGAATGACAAGACATACTGTACTATATGGTATACAGACTGTTGAGAGCAAGAAGCGCATTAACTCGTGTGTCACATGGTAACTCAAAGTAATTGCACCCACGTGCCATTTACCATTTCAATACAGCAATACCCTCACTTTATTCTGAGTTTATTCTGAGTAACCATACTTATACACCATGCAGTCCATACTGTAAGCAAAGACAATAAGTTGTGATATTTCAACAAAAAAATATAATCAAGATCAAATTTCATCAAAGTTAACCTTTAGGGTTACATTTTAAATCTAGGTTTAGGCGGCCAATTTTACACTTTTTTAATTCAAATTCATGAACGTGCATTCACATTCACATAGAGGTCGCTCACAGATGAAAAAACGAATGATTTGGAGTTGATGTCTGCAATATTACTGCGGACATGCATTATCCCTCAATTTAAAATTAAATAAAATTACCTTGAAATGCATTTCCACAAACTTTTTAAACGACATTTTTCTTTGATATGATGTATATATACTTGAGTTTGTGTTCCCCTTTCTCTCTCTCTCTCTCTCCGTCGCTACCCCCTCCTCTCTCTCTCTCTCTCCAGGGAAAAAATTAATATTTATTTTTCGGGGGCTACTTTTCAAGCTTGCCTGCATAAAAATAACACTCTAAAATTAGTTTTGCATTGAACTCTATGCAAATTTACGGGGGCTCTTTTCTGATTTTTGGGGGCTCTTTTGGGCATTTCGGGGGCAAATTCGCCCTGAGCCCCCGTGTATTTTTTTCACTGGTCTCTCTCTCTATCTCTCTCTCTCTCTTTCTTTCTCTCCCTCTCTCTCTCTTTCTCTTTCTCTCTCTCTCTCTTTCTCTTTCTCTCTCTCTTTCTCTCTCTGTCTCTTGGCACGTGGGCGTTGAAGAACACCTCTTTTGATAAATTCTGTATTAGTCTGTGGGGATGTCAATATAGGGCTCCTTATAATCATTCAAGAAGGGAATACAGAATAGCAATAATTGTCCTAAGAGGCTTTCAAGCCCGTCTGCACTAGTTTTGCCAGGGGGTTACACCTCCCTGGAAGGTCACTGACAGGTGGTTATCTCATCAAATTAGCTATCAATTAACATTTTAAAAGAGGATCATGGGGGACCAAAAGGCACCGATTAGGCATTGTTTGGTATATAGAGGGCGCAATTACATATAAGTAGTGTAAGGGGGCTTTGAAAGAATTTCCCTGAGCGTCTAAAGTAAACTGTGTCCTTCTTATAGTTGTCTGCGAAAGTTAGGTTAAGAACACACCGACGTCTTCCTCCTTGTCATCTGCCTCTTGGTCTTCCTGACCTTTGACCTCACTTTTCGACTTTTGTTTAGCATCATCGGGTGTGACACTTTCAGGTTTTTCATTTTTGTCATCACTGTTCGCTGACCGGACACTTCCTTGGTTCGCTGTTGATTGATGCGACAACGCGGAGCGTGCCTTGGTGCTACCAGAATCCGACGTCGATCCTCTAGTCGATGGAGAAGATTCCCTGCTATCAGTTGGACTCGTGTCTGGCATTGGTAAAGCCAACATTTCACTTTGATTTCTTGAATTTTGTGTTTCCCTGGTAGACGAATCGGATGAGTTTTCGGATGAGAAGTCGGATGCATAATCATCAGACTTCTCTCTTTCATTATTTTGCCGTGACTGCCGCGACTTTCCGGTGCTTGTTGAATCCGACGTCGACGAACTATCGCGTTTGTCATTTGGCTTCTTCTCTGGCATCGTTAGAGCCAACATTTGTACCTTGTTGGACTTAACCTTAGTTTCATTCTGGTCATTTCTTCTTGGTATTTGATGGACTACTTTCTTTTGTGGGTAGACTATCTGCCTATTTTGGCCTCGTCCTTTAAATGCGCGTTGTTCTCCTTTGATAGCCAGACGACGCGGATAGCCGATAGCTGGTAGTCGAACTCTCGATCCCCGTGAATTTGTCGCTTCCATGATAGTCTGCAAAGAAGGCGTCTTTCCCAGATCTGGCGGAGTAGCGATAGACTCGACTTCCCTGACGAGTTTCACTATGGAACGGAATTTCCAGTTGATTACATCGTAGTCATGCTGTGTTACATTTTCGTTTTGCATGTTTAGAAGTCTAACCGTTTCGATACCTGATTCGAGCGATTTGATATCTCGCTGGAGTTCGTCCGCGCGTTTCTTCTGTTTAATGGCCTTTGATCGCTGTTCGACTCTGTCCTGGTCACTCATGGCCTTTTCTCGTTGACTCTTTGCCAGCTGTTTCTTGATAGTAAACAACCCTTTCTGGATGTCAGCAAATTTATTTTCCGTCTGTCGCAATGCCCTGTTGCTTTTGGCTTGGCTGTTGACCAGTCTAATATGCAGATAAACCAAATGGAAGAGGAGAAAAACAGAGAAAGGGGACTGTTTAGAAATCGTAATGTTGATTAAATGTATGTGAAACAGTCTTGATAAATTTTGGAAAGATGTATCGTCTTGTAAATACAAATAGATTGCTTTCTATAAATTCTCTATAACATCTTTGGAAGGTTTTGAATGAATAATTAAGTATAAGATGACGTTGATACATTACACGCAATGAGAGAAGTTCGTGAAAAAGGAGGGGGCTGCTGCTTTATCATTATGCTCAGCCTCGTACGCCCCGTACGCTGGAGTGGAGAATTGTTTTTGGTAGGTAGGCCTAATTGTGAATGTTGACGAAATTTGTTTCATGGTTTAGGTCTGCAGTATACATAACTATTTAATTAATATCTTAATCCTTGTTTCCCTGCAGAATTCCTGCATGAAAGTCTATCATTTGATTGATTAATATCATATCTTAGGTAGGCCTTCAATATATCATAACATACATCACAAAGACCGTGTGTTAATAAAAGACGTTAAGTGGGGTGTCGATATTGCTCTAATTGGGGGTACCTGCTCCCACCTGATATGCTTGTGGTGTAGGCATGTGTTGTCGATTATTACCCCCCCCCCCCCCTCCCCTCAAAAGGCTCCTCCCCAGGAAAAATGAATCACTGCATAAAATATGATCCGAACAACTTACTTTTGTTTTTCAATCTTCATATTTTCCATGACCCGTTGTGACTTGGTGCGTTGTACTTTCAACAGATGTCTCAGTTTATCTGCTTCAGCCTGTGCGTCTCGTTTGGCAGCTTCCCTTGCTTCTTCTTCTTGCCTGAGGGCGTCCTTCTTTAACTTCTGTCTCAATCGATTGATTGATTTCGCATGTCTCTCCTTCGTTTCTTCCATGATTTGTCGAAGTTCCTGAAATTTCTTCGGGTAAGCATCCAAGAGACTGTGAACATCTTCAGGAATCGATGACTTATCGGTTCTTCTTTCCGTCGTGTCTTCTGCGTAAATATTTTTGACTTTACGCGGGCTAATTGTGGCAGTCGAGCTGTCCACATCTTTTGACGTAAAACTGGAGGTAGCAGAAATCTTTTGATTTGTTTGTTTTCCATTTGTATCATTAGTCGGTTCGCCTCTAGTCTTGGATGTGATTTTATCCGGAGAGTGCTGATTCCATTGTCTTTTATCTTCATTTTCCTTTGCTACGTAATCATCGAGCTGCCGATATGAATCACTAAGATCCTTGACTAGGGCCTTTACGTCTACTTTCCTCTCCGTACCTAGTACATTTCAAAATCGAAAAAAAGAAAGAAAAATAGTTAAGGATTGTGAATATCTTAGTTTATCAACTAACATAAGGGAACTTCCACAAGAGAAACACAATTTGAAATCTTTCTAATTAAATCAAGTTGTTACCATCAAGATAATACAATCTGATTATCTTGGATGTGAAGTATAATTTGAATTTGGTAACTTCACTAGTTTTCATGGCGAAACATGAGACGTACTATCTTTGTGCTTTGTCAATATTTGTCTATTATTTGACGTTGCTGTCACATTGTTGACCATTGTTCCATTTGCAATATTGATGAAAAATAATACACCACGATAGAAACCACATTCTTGCCTTCTGGGACACGTCTCCTAGACAACCAAACTATACGCTCTTCTCACTGTTGGATCTACTAAGTTTACTCGGTATGAATGTGGGTAGTTATGCGTCTACGACGAATTTTGAATCCCTCTTTATCTCATTAGATATCTCTTAGACCTGTGCCTACTCCCCATCTTCACAATGTAATGATTTCCCCCACTTCTTCTCCTTCTTCTTCCTCCTCTTCCTCTTCTTCCTCCTCTTCCTCCTTCTCCTTCTTTCTTCTAATTCTCCTTTTCTCCTTCTCATTCTTCTTCTTCTTCTTCTTCTCCTTCTTCTTCTTCTTCTCCTACTTCTTCTTTCTTTTCTTCACTTGTATGGTTATTTAAGACGAATGCAATTTTGAATCCCCCTTTTTTTCTCATTAGTATCTCTAACTCCTGTCCATCCTACCCATCTTCGAAATGTAATGATTTCATGATTTCATCCACACTTCTTTTCCTCCTCCTCATTCTTCTTCTTCTTCTTTTTCACTTGTATGGTTATGAAAGATTCATGATCCTCTCCCCTTCTCGTTATGTCCGAAAAGGATAGCTATTCACAATAAAATTCGAATGTTGTCCATAATCAGCGGCGGATCTAGAATTTTCCAAGGGGGAGGGGGCGAGGTCAACGATACAAATGTTAACATTATCTTGAAATGTACATAGTCTCTATATATATCATGATAGCGATTTTTTTTTCTTCATTTTTTTTATATATATATATTTTTATATATATATCTCTCTCTTTTTCTTCTCTTCTTCTCTTTTATCTTCTTTTTCTTTCTTACGTCGCTCTCTCATTTCCCTTTTTTTAAGCCGCCCAAAAGGGGGGCACGGCCGATTTAGCCCCGACCTGGATCTGCCATTGGTATTGGTAAAATTTCCAGACACAAACAAGAACAAAAAGAAACATTCTTACCTTGAATACTTTGTCTCTTTTTAGAGAGCTGCTTTCCCGTCCCTTTCTTCGGCGGTGCAAACATTATTCCTCCTAATAAAGATGACAGTCAATGACATGAACCAAAGCTTGGATAGAACGTGAAGCCACGGGATTCCTAATTGCTAATTAAAGCATTTTGCGTTGGTTTTCCTTGATGTCTTATATTCCAATTAAACACAAATCATCGACTATTCATGCTAAATGTGAATATTCCTTCTTCTTGTCTAAAGTTCGAATACCAATCTCTTGTTTGGGCACCGTCCCTCTGCTCTGGAAAGTTTTAAGATTAAGACGCTTTGGAATATTGTTCGGACTTAACCCTAGCTTTTCTTTCAGAAAGATTGCAGTATAAACAGAATGGGAGTATCATAGCAACCTGGTCATATTTATTTGCATTCAACTCACGACTACGCAAACAGAATGAACTTGAAATAAGAAGGTTGTTGCTCTTGAGGATGGCAATTGAAGGGATCTTCTTTTTTAAAGTTACCTGTACAGATATTGAATAAGAGTGAGGATAATATTGTAGATAAGTGAAGAGAGTGATACGGAGGACAAAAAAGAGAAGAAGAAAGGGAACGGACAGGAAGATAGCAAGAGGAAGGCGAGAGAAAGTTAGAGATAGCGATGGAGATAATTTGGCAAAGTATTTTAATAATGTATAAACATCTTTTAGATTCGAATGAGGAATAGTTACCTCCTTTGTTCCCTACAATTATTCGTCTATCATTATCATATCATTTGATATTGATATTAGCTACAAATTGTAACGGTTGTTAAATTAATTATATTTTACATATAATTGTTATTTGTTTTACTTGTTATTATAGCTTAATTTTTTATATTTGATTAATTGGTCAGCCGCATATAAGGACCACCTCCTTTCTGGCTGCTACCAGCATTAGCAATTTCCTTTGTATTATTCATGTTTGTAAATTGATTTGGTGTATTTCTGTGTTTATCTACGTTAGTAATTGTAATTGTGTGAAACTTTGTATACTGCTTTTGTTTTACCCTGTATGTTTTTTATTGCTTGGCAAAATAAATTGCAAAGTTTCCCCCCTCTCCTTCTTTATATCTCGAAGTCTATTATTTCTTTAATTTGCTTCTCCTTCTTTTAATTTTTCTCCTTCTCTCCCCTCTTTTTCTTCTTACGTCGCTCTTTAATTTTTTTAAAGGCCGCCAATTTCCCCCTCTCTCCAAGTCTCTGATCACATTGATTTTTTGTCTCTCTCTCTCTCTCTCTTTTTTTTCTCCTTTTATTTTGTGTTGTTCTTCTTCCCCATCTCCCTCTCCCTCTCTCTCTTCTTCCCCTCTCTTCCAATCATGATCCATCGAAATAGTGTCTCTATCAACTCTTTACATAAACATTTAGAAAACTCATCATACAATCGTGTCATGACACTAAGTAAGGTATGAACAATTCTTTTATTTGTCACAAATCATCATTACTCAACGCTCAATACATTATTAACATTGCCTTCCACTCATCTCCCCAACATCAACTATGTACTGCCTGAGAATACTAAACAAACATTAAACACGTCACGATTAAACCGTCTGCTGAAAAACAGAAGGAAGTATTACTCAATTTAGAGCACATGGAGATAAAGATGTAACATATCAACTTGTTGATATTGTTCTGCTCTTCTGCATATTCACAATTATATATTTGAAACATTGAATGAAATGTGTAAGAAAGGAGTCATTGGTTTTGTTTTAAGTTATTTTGATACAGGATGTTTTATGGGGTTTTGATTTTATTTATTTACTAACAGAAATACATCTCATACAATGTGTGAAAATAAACAAGAAGATAAACTATTGGTTTGTAAAAGGGGCCAGATAATAGCACATGTGCTAGTCCAGCCTAACCCCTTTAAAATGTAAACAAAGTATATTGGTACAAATCAGTTTAGAAAATGTTACAAAACAAAAGTAATGAATTTACAATTCTTTAAACAACATTCTTGTTCCATGTGCTCTACAGATCCTCCAAATGAGTTTAAAGTCCTTCTACTTCTCAGCAGATGATACATAAACTGAATACTAAACATAATGTTACAATAGAAGCAAGAAGGTGGCTATAGTAATACTCTATAGTGAAAAAAAGGACGGGAGAAAATTCAGATGTGCACACTAACTTGACAATGAGGTACACATACAAGCTATAAATCTGAATACTACACGAGATACAAATACAAGCTATACATCTGAAATAATACTACATGAGAGTTCCCAAAGCACACAAATCAAACTATTGAAAGCTGACAAATAAATTAAACTGCAAATTTAAGAATTTAAATGAAGATAAATACATCTGTACAGTGTTCAAGTCTGTTCACATCACACGTTTTCTTATACATGTGTATGCCGTAACATATGTCCTGTCCAGTTTCTGACAATCAGAAAATGTTGTCATAAGTCAAATTCGAAATATATTGCATTGCTCTTTCACAAAGTTTGTACGATTGACACCGTTTAGCTCACTCACCTTAATACCTCAAAAGAGATACCGGTATTGCCTTTTTGGAGCTAGGAGGGAACTAACTCTATGTACAACTTTATGAGTTAACACCCTTCTGTCTCCAAATACTAGTAGATGATATTTTCTACTGTTCCATTGTTCCAATTAACCGGGCATGGTGGCTCAGTCGTTAGAGCGCCCGCCTCATGAACGGGAGGTCGTGGGTTCGAACCCCGGCCGAGTCATACCAAAGACTTATAACAATGGGACCTTCTGCCTTCTAGCTAGGCGCTCAGCATATTAGATTGGAGAAGGGTAGTAATAACATATTATGTTATGCAGGGCCCGCTGGAAGAACAGTTTCATAACTGAAGTGGCTACCCTGGGTAAATAAAAGTTATTATTATTATTATTATATTATGTGTAAATTCATCAAACACATTTACAAGTGATCATTAATTGCTGAATCAGTGAGTTTGTAGATGTCTTTGAAAGAAAGCAATGCATCAAGTCTGCATTAAACAATAAGTATATAATTATGTAACATCTGAATACGATACAAAGCTTTGGAAAGAGAATGACAAGGAATGATTTACACATAGATAATTTTTAAAGATGTATTGGAAACAGGCTGCAAATACAATGTAACATGTAGTACATCAACGCTAGAATGTGTCATGTGAATGAATTTAAATAATTACAACTATTTTTTAAATAGTACTTTGCACATAATGATGCTTAACAAAACAACATCACAGAGCAGCATCTTATAACACTACAATTCATCAATCACTTCAACTTCAATATCCAAACTTAGATCTAAAAAAATAAGCATAAACTATGTGCAAGGAATACTAGATTGTCACTTTCTACATTAAATAATTATTGTCTAAATCTTACTAAAAATGTAAAGAAAATTTGATCTACAGAAGGCTCATTAACGGCATATTCAAGGTATGAATAAAATAGAAAAATCACAAGTTGTGCATGGTGAATATCCATGAAGTAAAGATGAATATGCATGAAGAACAAGATGAATATGCATGAAGTACAAGGTGTCTAGTTATGAAGTACAATGTGAATATTCATTAGTACCCTTTAAAAGTTCATGCTAAACATGATAAACTTTCATTACTACATCACTTTATATGTCCAACACACAAACACATGTACATGTCTATTGAATGAAATCCATGTGATGTATCATTCTGCATATAATTCCATAAAGCTGATTGAATTACATGGGAGAGCAGATAATAGACCATTTTCGTAAAGTTATCAAATTTAATGCATAAATCTTTGTTAAGTGTCATGTCAAATCATTTCATCCGGCTGATATGAATAATTGTTCATGTATTTTAATAGTCAAAATGCAAAATCCATACATGAAATGTTGCTAGGTGGGACAACATTATGGCCTGTCCTACCTAACGACATGTAATGTATGCAATTTGCATTCTGTCTATTGAAAATCATTATTTGCAACAGGTGACTGAACTAATTTTTAATGAGGCACTTAACATAGAGTCGTGCCTTCAATTTCATTACATTACTAGAATAATCTTTTGAGCATTGAGTCTAATATAAACCTGACTCGTTTTACCACAGTTCTTTCTCTAATTATACAGACTATGCTTATGATTTATGAAGAGATTAATTCATGTGATTGATATGACAATGAACAAACATTAAACATGGGAGCAGGTATGAGGGAGAGTGGAACTTTGTGACATTTCATTAATCAAACATTGAGAGAAATACATACATGACAGTTTATGACACATGACACAGTTGCCAATTTAAAATTTCCATGATTGATGATTCTTTTCAATTTCAGAGATGGAGACCATTTGGAGCTCCCAAATAATGTCACCCATTTCACATTCAACCCAGTTCAGGCCAGTACTAGTAGCACAAAGGTTCAGGGGACCGAAGTCTTGGGAACCTTCGGTCTTGAAAACACTTGGTATCAAGTGAGCATTAGACCAATTACATGAAGCAAGTCC